CCCCCCGCACCGTCCCCAGCACCTACCTTGGCGGTTTTGCTGTCAGCCTGCAGCTTCTCCATCACCTCTGAGTTGACCTTGAGGAAGTCCTTGAGCACGGGGCTGTCGTCCTGCCGCATGAACTCCTTGCGGGTCAGCTCCATCCCCTGCTGCAGGCTCCGCACGTCCTGCAACACGCTGTCCAGGGAGACTGCAGGGAGGGCGAGCGGTGTCGGGGTCAGGGCAGGCTCGGAGAGCCCCCACACCGGGGCTGCAGTCTCGGTGTGGAAGCCGGTCAGCTCGGGGTACTTCTCCATGATCACCCGCACCAGGTAATGCAGCAGCGTTTGCTTGCGGTCCGTCGACTTCATCTCCAGGAGCTGGGACAGAGCAGCATCAGCCCTGACCTGCATCCCACCAGCCCACCTCACCCCTGCTCAGGGCAGGCTCTGGTGGCCTTCCGTCCCCACGGCCAGTTCCTGGTGTGGAAGCCGGTCAGCTCGGGGTACTTCTCCATGATCACCCGCACCAGGTAATGCAGCAGCGTTTGCTTGCGGTCCGTCGACTTCATCTCCAGGAGCTGGGACAGAGCAGCATCAGCCCTGACCTGCATCCCACCAGCCCACCTCACCCCTGCTCAGGGCAGGCTCTGGTGGCCTTCCGTCCCCACGGCCAGTTCCTGCATCCCTCCATCCCCACGGCTGGTTCCCATCTTCCTCCGTCCCCATGGCTGGTTCCTGCATCCCTCCATCTCTCCATATCTGGTCTCTGCATCCTTCCAACCCCACAGCTAGTTCTTCTGTATCTCCATCCCTTTAGCCACTCCCCATGCCTTGCCAACCCTGTAGATCGTCTCTTCACCCCTCCATTCCCACAGCAGATTCCTGTGTCACTCCATCCCCGTGGCTGGTCCCTGCATCCCTCTAGCTGCTCCCCATGCCTCTCCAAACCCTACAGCTGCTCCCTGCATCCCTCCATCCCTATAGCTGGTCTTTGCACCCTTCCATCCCCACAGAAGGTTCCCATGTCCCTGCAGCCCTACAGCAGTTCCCTGTGTCCCTCCACCCCCGAGGCCGGTCCCCGGGCGGTGACAGTGCCCCCGTGCCCCAGCACACCGGGCAGCCCCGCGCCGACCCTACCGCGTCGAGGCTCTGCAGCCGGAAGCCGTAGGCTGCCCCGCGCTTGCTGCTGTTCATGTAGTTCCCGAAAGCCAGGACGATCTGCGGAGACACAAGGGCTCGGGGACACAACCCGGCACGGATGGGGCACCCCGAGGGGGGGCACAGTGCCTACATGCACCCTGGTAGCGCCCTGCGTGCGCCCATCCCAGCCCGACGTCCCCCCATCGGGGCCACCACACCCCAAACTCCTCACCTCGAGGATGTTGCGCAGTTTGGTGGAGGACTTGAGGGACATGGAGGCGGCGATGATGGCGTTGAGTTGCTGCGGGTGGGAGGGGAAGTGTGTGCCGCAGGATGCCACCCCCTCGCAGCTCCCCCACCCACCACCGCCCCGTGTCCCCCAACACCCACCGGCATGAGCAGCTGGGCCGTGTCACTGAAGTTGCCCAGGAAGATCATGACGTTCATGCGCTCGGCCAGGCGCGGGATCTTGCTGAAGCGGATCATGAACTGGTCCTCGTCCGAGAGCTCCTCCGGCGGCTGCTGGTCCCGCTCGAACTTCCCGATGAGCGTCCGCTCGTACTCGGTGGGCAGGAAGCGCAGCAGCAGCTCCAGAAAGTCGAGGCTCAAGGCTTGCTGGTCATACCTGTGGTTGATGGGAGCCCCCAGTGCAGCCAGACCCTGCAGCAGGTCCCTCAACCCCCGTCACCCACGGCTGGTTCCCACCTTCCCTCCATCCCCCCAGCTGGTCCCTGCATCCCTCCATCCCCACAGCGGGTGCCATCACTCCTCCAACCCCAGCACACCCCACACCATCCCGACCTTCTCCCATTGAAGAGGGGACACTCACGTCTCAATGGCTGTGCAGATGTCCTGGATGCTGCGGCCGCCCTTGCGGAGGGTGATGGCCAGGTTCTTGGCTCGGTTGGACTCCATGAGGGTGACCTTGCTGGGAGCCTTCTGCGTGGCCTTCACCTTCAGGGCACTGATGTCCAAGCCGGGGCCCTGCGCTTTGGTCTTGAACTGCTCCTCAAAGTCACTCATGTCCAGCTCCTGTGGGGAGACAGGGCTGAGGGCACGGCGGGGAGGTGACGCAGGATGTCTGGGACGAGGACAGAGCCAGAGGGCCGCAACAAGGGGGAGAGGAGTGAGAGGATGAAGATGGAGCAAGGGGAGGAGGTCAACTTGAAGGGATGAGGATGGAGCAAGGGGACAAGGAGAGGGATGGGACAGGGAGGGGGTAAAGAGGGGATGAGGGGACCAGAGGATGAAGACGAGGAAGACATGGACAGGATGTGAGGATGAGGATGGAACAAGGGCACAAGGATGGGCTGACAGGAGAAGGATGGCAGATCCCATGTTGTCCCCCGCCATGGCTCCAAGGGGCTGCTCCAACCTCCAGCTCCT